TGGATCTTTTGTTTCGTCTTTTTCTTTTTTAAAATAAATATTTGTGTCAAGTCCGGATCTTTCCGTTGATTTTGGCTGATGTCCTCAGGGGAGCCTTGAATTTGCTTTTGGAAATTACCCAATTATTAGTACAATAACAAAGCTGCTATGAGTAGTTATTCTGCAATTTGTCTGTGAATTTCTGTTGTTTGTGGATATTAAAGGGGGTATGAAATCAGGGTGCACGAATTTTAGGATGATGCTCATATTCCATTTTGGTCTTGGTAGGATATTATGGTGTATATAAATGTTCGATTGTTGTTTGGAGCTCCATAGGTTGTAAACTAAAGGTTTAGTAGGTAGGATAATGGATAATGTTTGATGCTAGCCAGTCGAATTTCACGAACAACCACGTATATAATCGTGTAACTACTAGGTTATCGTACCTGCATTGGCACCATAGTTTTCTCTCTCTGCACTGCCGATAGGGGTCTTTTCATATGATTCTCGCGCTACCGCTGGGTCCATGCTTCTGATGTGTTTGCTGTGACTTCTTCTCTAATTCTTTAGGACTGTAATTGTTCTGATCTTATTGCTTGCTGTGGTGTTGTTTTCTTTTCTCGTGTGTGCAATGAAAGTGTGGATGTTCTAGGCTTTGTTCATATGTTGGTGTATGTTCTTCTTTAATCGATCCTTTTGGTGATGTTAAACAAGATTAGACGAGTCTGTCTGTTCATGTCTTGATCTATCTGTGTCTGCTGACGTTGTTTCATGTCGACCCATATAACTGATCAAAGAAGTGGCTGAGATCCAGATAGAACTTACGTTTATATTAGATCATGTTTTGGGGGAAGTTACAAGCATATGCATAAAATGCTAAATCGTATTCAGGGGCCTGTTCTGTTATTTCTGTTTTTCAATGAGCTTAAGAGCACTTCTGAGCAATCTAGTGGTTGATCAATCTGTCCCGAGTTGATAAAATCATGGGTCAGTGTTAAACTTACACTAGGCTTGGATAGAGTTTTTAAGGATGAGAGGGGGAGGGAGGGGGAGGTTTGCAATGCTAACCCTTATAACATTGTGTTTGTTTACATTTTTTAGTGAGCAAGGGGAGGGGAGGGGAGGGGGGGGGTGAAAACTAAAATTCAGCTACTTTCTTAGCCCTCTAAAAGTGTACGGATTGGGAGGGGAGGGGTTTTATGTGGAATTTTCTTGCAATCCCAATATTGCCCTATATGAAAAAACTAAAAGGTGTTCTTTCTTATTTTATTAAAAGGGCGTACTGGTCAATAGCTCCCCTTCCCTTCCCATCCCCTACTCTAAACTAACACATATTATAGTGTACCCTCTCATCGTCTCCTTGTCTATTCAAACACAAATGAATACATTCCACCCTTTTGCTTTCCACTCCCTCGCCTTGGGTTTAAGTCAATTACTCCCCTCCCCTCCTTTGTATCCAAACCAACCGTTCAGGGCTCACGTTTTTTTTTGGGGGGGTCTCGTTTGTGCATTTTACTCTTTTCATAATTTACCAAGCAGTTTGCTTGATTTGAGTTGAGACTTTCTGATGATGTGGGTGGGTGTCTATCTCATGTGTTTCTGATGTTCCAGTTCATCACTCTGATTCCTGGTAATAATTCTGTTGCATGTTGTTTACTCCGATTCCTTTTCAAGTTATCAAACAGCTTTTACATATTTTGAACTGGAGCCTTTTGCTAATGTAGTATGTGTAGATCGTCATTTGGCTTCTGATTGATTGTGTGGATACCTATTGCCCTGGAATAAGTTTTTTGCCCTGCTTTTTTTTAATGTGTTTTTCAAAGTTCCAAGTTACTAATAAACCGTAGATCTAGGAAATACTTTTTCACGCTGAAGTACTTTTCAATTTTTTTTTTCCTGGAATTGTTTGTTTCGCTTTGAAATTAAGCAAGGAAGTGGGTTTCTATTCTTTACGCTGTTCGAGAAGTAGGAAGAGGGAGATGGTAAACGTCGTTTTAGTATGATGTTTTTTTTAAATGCTGAAAATTCAGTTCCTGTCTGATTTCTGACCTATTCATGCAGAAATGGGTTTAGGGGCTGTTTGGATGCCTTTAGACTATCAACAATGGTTTTGTTTTTCAACACCCTACTTTTTACTTTTTAACACTCCACATCATCTTCTCTCTCTTCCACCTAATAATTCAACACCCACTTAACTTTTACACTCTACAATGGTTTTGTTTAATAAAATTCAACACCCTACCACACCACCTAATAATTCATCTTCTCTCTCTTCCAGAGCCCGCCACGTGTCCAGCGCGGGTCCCACTCCCTCCTCTTTCAACATGTTGAATTCTTTCAACTCTAATTAATCCACCTCATTTTCAACACCCCATTCAACACCCCCATTACACCCATTCAACTATTTAATTCATCATTCAACTACCCCATTGTAACTAGTCTTAGGAAACTAGAGTATTTATGATACAAAATAGAAAGTGGTTATCCACCTCACCACTTTCCATTCGAGTGTTTACATTGTTTGATTAGGAATATTTGTGAATCCTAAAATAATAGTATTACATTGTTTGGATAGTATAATGTAAACTAGAGTATTTATGACACAAAATGGAACGTGGTTATCCACCTCACCACTTTCTACAAGATTTTGATTTTTTTTTTATTATTTTTTTGGACACATTTATGTTAGCTTTCCAATAAAATCACTCCTATTTTGGTGATTTTGATTTCGGTGACATCTCATCAAAATGTGTAAGCTTTTCATGTAAAAGAGAATTTAAACAAACAATGTAAAGTGATGAAAGCTGACATTAGAACCCACTTTTTTACACTTTCCATCCTTTTACATGGTAAAAGCATACAACCAAACATTAATATTGGCGTAGAAGAGAGCGCGTGTGCTGGTACAGTGACCTTCCAAGCATTACAAGGTCCATAGATTTGACTTTTGGGAGGTTGTTAGTTATACCAGCATTTCATCTCCCTTGCTCTGGTCGCCCGCGCATAAAGTTGCAGATGCAAAAACTGCATAGCATTTATATTTCAATTTTCTAGTTTTGCAATATTTCAAGTAGAGAGGGCGAATGAAAACCGCGACGTACGCTACCGCCGACAGGAGCAAAAGGTGCGGCCTCCGTGAACAAAGGATATACGAGATGACTTCATCTGTAAAAGAGCCATTCTTATGCCAAATAGAAAACCATCTGGGCTCCTGTTTCCTCTATGACAATCATCGCAACGGAACGGAATATTAATTTCGCGTAGGAAAACATTTCACAATGAAATTGCAAACACCCACAATCAATTCCCAAGCTGATTTCAGGGAACAACTGTTACGTAAAACACGTGTTACCGCGATATTTTATTGAAATACAAAATCGCATATAGTGAACTAAATAGCGATAAATAATTCCTTACACACTTTAAATATAGGAGCTTGCACAAATTGTGAAGATTCTACAAAAGTTTTTGGTCTCGATTTGAGACTTGCCATTCTCTTGTGTGTTGCCTGCTGATTGTGGTGTGGAGTTGCGTTCCAGTTGCTTATCAATGGTGCTGTTTTTACACTGAAACGAGGGAAGAATTGTGACCTTTTGCAATGGGAAAATAGTTGATTTTGTGACTCACTTATTGTTGTAGAATTTCCTGCTGCTTTCTACTACATCCTATTATAGTTTTCTAGAATATTCTTCCACATTTTAGCGGACCCACATACTCGAACATTCTAGAATTTTCTAGGGTTTTCTAGTATAGCTAGAATTGTTGTAGAAATTTATAGAATTATGATACGTCGTCATGTTTCCCGAACCAAATGTCATAGGGTTTGTTTCACAACTCGCCCACTAACTTGGATAAAGACTTAAAATGTGTTCGGCTAAAAACATGTACAATATTGGATGAGTTCTTTTTAGTTAAATAAACCGAGGCTCTTGACTCGCTTATCTTTGGACCATCCCTATATTGGTTCGATCCTAATCCAGGTAAGGCCAAAACCTGATTAGCGTCAAGTTGCAAAACACACCCATACGATAATGCATATTCTGTGCTTACAGTATCATAGATTTCGCTTGTGTTTATCTGCTAATCGACGGAGTTAATAAATGTCAAGTTACTCTTTACGTCAGCCTGCAGTGCTGGAGAAATGTATGCTAGAGATGTCTTGGTGTACAATGAATATATGCTTTTGTCTGAACAAAAAAAAAAAAAAATCAGATAACTGCTTAAATCAGTGATACCTCCTTCACAGTGAACCATTGGGAGAAAAGAGGGGGAAAAAAAAATCAAATGCTGTGTTTTGACCATAACATTGTTCAAATTAAACATGATGAGAAAACCAACAATAAAAAGCCAGTCCACCATAGCAAATACTAATGCTAAATGAAACAGATGTTAAGTACCAATACATCTACAGAACAAATTCAAACAACCACACTGGTTCATATAAAAATAAATAAATCTTCCTATAAAATGACCATCATGTTGCTGAAAGGTCCCAGTATTGCAAACTCAACCCCAGTAAAATTGTCGTCTCCAATTCCTGCCAACAAGCAAACCAGACGACTATTTAGATTAATCATTATTCAGTTTTTAATCAATTTCAGACATACAAATCCATAAACAAGGGATAACAGATGCCCTTCACTTCAATTCTTTACACAGTTCCACCCTCGGGGCTCGAACAAGACCGAGATGCTTCACTTCTCAAAGGAAATCCAGAGCTAGCTAACAGCCCTCGGAGTTGCTTATGGTTAATGCTTTACTTCTAAATAGTTAGCTGCACATTCGGATATTTTCCTAATATACATTCTCGATATTCCCATGATATTGTAGGATATTCTACGACATTTTAGAGGAGCCATGCACATTCCGAAATTATTCTAGAATATTTAGAACTTCTGTAGGAATTTATAAAATTCTGATGTCCTGTCATGTTTAGAATTCTGATGTCTTAATCAAGCAGTCTTTCATTTTTTTTTCCATCAACCCTGTAAATCCACGCATCACAAACTCAACAACAATAGTATGTCAACCAAAAGACCGATTAGATAATTCGTTGTCCGGTAATCAATTTCACAAGAACGAGATACAAATGGACAAAAAAGAGACGCAAACGAGATCACTTTAACCTTTTACACGGTTCTTCACTCTGAGGGCTCGTACAAAATCGAAGATGCTTTATTCCTAAAAGGAAACCCAGAGCTGCAGCACTCAAGAGTCGCTTATGGTCAAGTTGGCTGGAAGTATTTGGCTAAATGGGGGAAAAGAAATGATAGTATATACAGTTTCCAGGTTTCTCTCTCCTTTCAATTCAAAGAAAATTCAGAATTCTAATAGAATCTAAAGAAAGCCGGCTACTCCTCGGCCTGAGATGGTTTCTCGATATATGGTTAGTGCTTCCTCCATAACCCTTGCTTCAGATAACAACTGTGCTCTCTTTTTGCTGGATGGATGAGTAGAGAGGTAATCTCGCAAACCCGAGTCCCCAGTAATCTTCCCCAATTTTTCATACACTTTTGGGGCAACCCGAGGGTCATATCCAGCAGAAGCCATCAGCAAGAGACCGATGTAGTCTGCTTCAATCTCCATCCTGTCGAAACAAGCTTCCAATGATTATAAATATACAAATAAAATTTACTGATTAGGTGTAAATGAGAGACATTCCCAAAACCTCATCACACATCAACAAACAGAATAGAATGAGCACATAAATAGCGTAGCAGTAAACAACTAGAATAATCATCTATAGAAGTCAAGACTATGCTAGACTGAAAAATGAATATGAGCAGAACAATCAATGACAAGAAAAACTTCCAACCAAGCTAGTAGAATTGCAAATGTATCACACCTACATTTAAAATAAGACAATATAGTACAAAAACTAAAAATACTTTTGCCTCACTTTCTAAAGTGAAGGTACAATCAGAAGTATTTGGCGTAGTTGCATCTGACAGGTTTTCCCGCAGAAAAAAAATAAATTGTACAGAAATTCTCTTGATAAGTAATGGATATGTAGAATGGACACTCCCCCTTTTTTTCCTGCTCTTGCTCTGATAAATCAAATGAGTGAAATCAATTTTTCCACAGTACCATTCATTCCCCTTATTTTCGTGGAAACGTACTACTCTCCGATCCATCTTAGTTCACAGATTTAGTAATGGTCGAATAGCTTTTACGCGGAAGTTCAGTATGTTCAAAGGACAGATGTAAGCTAGACAGTATTATTCACCAAATGACTAACATTTACATTACTATTTGATAATAGAACAGGAATATTTCACTCTTACATGTTGAGTGGAATAATATTTTTTAATGAAATAACTAGTACACCCCCATCCACACCCCCGATCCCACACACTCGCAATTTAATTCCTATTTCCCTTGTTCAAACTCTTTCAGGAATCAGCATATTAGGTTATCGGTTCTGGTTTAAAAGGAAGAAGAAATGGAATGGCCATAATAAGAATTTTGCCTTGTAACATCCAAAATAAACACCAACCAACTACATGGGAATCACTATATGCCATATGATTTCAGTGGAAAATAGACAAATACGAAGATACGGGGAGCAATTTCAAGGTAAAAGATTTGATAGCTAAATATGTAAACAGCCTAGAATATATTTGGCCCTTTGTTTAATGCCTGCCATTAGATCACACAAAGAAAGCTTCCTATTATAAGAAGTATTCTCGTGAACTTTAATGTGATTTTTAATAAAGGACTGCTGAAAAAAAGAATACAGTAAAAATGAGCACAATGAAACAAATAATACTATTAGTGACTCGTACATGAGAGAAACATTGTATCATATATCACCAAAGGATAAGCCCAAAAGAATATGCATATCAATAAAGTGGGAGAAAGACCATGATGTCGCAAATGCAAGATAACACCGGCCTAAAAAATAAGAACTGTAGTGTGTTGAGCACCTCATAAAACCTACATCTGCAGAGGTGAACATAGAGATGGAATTCCAAACGGTGCGCACACACATACCCCTTCAAAAGATTACATCTACAGGATGCCCAATTTTGTCATAAAGTACTATAAACAATTGATTAGATAACTGTTGCAGGAGGGACTCACTGACTGTAGCAATGTACATGCATTTCAAGGCATTACACCGAGTATGGCATGAACTCAGTCTTAAAAAATCAATAAATACGAAAGCTCATAAAATGGTTCCAAAGACAAGTTTTGTGTTTGCCTTCCCAGATGCATGCATTTAACATATGGGAGTGGCTTCAATATTCCTCACTACACAAATACCTTTTACTCATTAGGCCCACATAGTGAGGTACATTGGGTCAAGTTTATACAGAGGTCCACCTAAACCCAGCCCCTAAACTATGAGTCTTTTTCGCTTGTAAAATCTATTGGAACCTGTTTGAAGGATTTTACGAAGAGTTGAAAAAGACTGCCATGTTTTAATTCTATCACACAACAAAGAAGGAGAAGAAATCATACATTTTGACGACCTTTAGGCTTTAGCTCATCGACAAGCAATTCCAAAATGGATGGTTTTTAACAATATAACCAAGGAGGCTTCTTAATGCATGTAAATCTCAAGTACTCGCTCGTCCAAGGGTTATGACTACTGGCATCGATATGTTTCCTTGCTCAGCTAAGCCTCCTCTCTATTTCACCATGTAACTATTTTCTTTATTAACCATGTCTCTTATCAGAGCATCTCCAATAGCTTCCCCATTTTATTGGTATTCTCACTTTTGGTCCAACAGATTCTCCATCTCATTCCACAAAATAGGGATGGAGGAGAAAAAAAGGGGAGTCTTCCCCAAATCTGCAGCATTCTTCAATTTTTTGGGGAGAGCTTTGTAATAAATGTTTCACGTTCGTCAAGTCTCCAACTACTCAAAAAACGACTCAACACTATAATAAAATGAGGGGGCAAAAAATAAAAAGTTCATGTCTAAATCTTTATTGTTAAAGTTTATGTCAAAGATGTAGAATATTTTGATTATTGTAATAAATGCAGGATTCTTCAAAATGGGGAAGCTGTTGGAGTTAGAGTAAAAATAATTTGGAGAATATGACTTTTGCTTCCCCATTTTGGACAAATTTTTAGAGAAGCTGTTGGAGATGCTCTCACATGGCATGCTATGCACCAACACTCAAATATCCGACATGTGTGAATCCAATGGCATCAAGATCCACGTCCCTATAACCTATTAAGGTGGAGTTCAGAATGCCTATTGAACCTTGTGTTTGCTTGCTAAAGCAAGCGTCCAAATTGGCAACGTTCCTAAAGAACAGACGATGGAGTAGTTTCGGTCCTTCGATTGTGTTGCTTTCTATGAATTTCTTTAGGATTAACATTGCAGCATCATTGTTATTCCTCACCACCAGCCCTTGTTTGCGCTAAAATTTCTAACCCGCTAACTCGCAAGGTAGAAGAGCATATCTCCTCTGTCATAGCTTTTAATATACTTCTGGTGTTTGGATTGGTATAATTTAGCTTAGAACACATTATTATTGTAAATGGAAAGCTACCAATCCTTTTGCGACCTCATTGATAATTGCTTTTTGTGTATTTGTCAGCTGGAGGACTTCTCCACTTGCCATCGCCATGAAAAATTTAATCACATATATAATCTGTTACTCACCACACAATGACACAATAAAGCTATTCTCTCGCAAATACAACGAACCAGATAAAAATATATAGTATTGATTACTCCAAAAGACCATTTGTGCCATTTACAATACAAAGGCATGATTACAACCAAGGAAAGCCACAGTTAAGTCATAATTGGAACTAAATGTTTCAAGTACACTCAAATTTTCACATGCAAAGCATTAAGGTTGGAGTCAATTTTGGTATGCAAGCAAGTTCATCAACATCATAAACAATTGCAGAAAGAAATTCAACGAGATTTACCTCCGAGAGAAAGGAAGCCTGAGAAGAAGGTTAGACATCGCATTGACAATATCAGGCATGTAAAAGAACTGCAACACAATCAACTGCAGCAGCATGAACCAGAAGTTCTTTGTTATCCCCTCCGCCCCATGCCTTGCAATCGCATGCCCAACCTGCCATAAAAACCCCACAATCAACCTTCAATTCTCAAAAAACTCACTTTTTCTCCATTTTTGAAAAAGTGCAGTGAAGCCCCATGTTGTTCCCAGTTCCAACTACATCCAAATTACAATATATATGTTTGATTGGATGATATAGTAACACCAAAACATAACCACATTCAAACTAAAGACCATTGCAACAGGCGGAACTACTTGATGTTGTAAATACATTTAGTATTCCAACTACTTCTAACCAAACGCATCCTACAATCAAAGCAAACAACACATAACGATGTAGTATTCCAATCTAGTTACATGTCAAGTATTACCCTAATAAATCGTTATAATGGTCATGTGTCAGCATCATGTGCAACACTAATGCCAAGGTTTCCAAGGATTTTTATGATATTTAGGATTACTATTATATGTCTAAGATATGTGTGTGCGTGTGCGTGTGTGTGTAGTGTTCACACAAAAACACGACATATGTGCAACTGAAAATCACCTCATGCCCAATAACAGTGGCAATCTCCGAATCGCTCCTAAAATGATCCAGCAACCCAGTAAAAACCACAATCTTCCCACCAGGAAGACAAAAGGCGTTCACATTACCATCCCTAACCACCACCACCTCCCAATTCAGCCCTTCAAGATGCCTGGTCGCCGGTTCGGCCCCACCCTTCACCTTCCTGCTCTCGTTTACCCACTCATCATCGAGAACCTCATCCTCTCTACTCCACCCTCTCCCTTCAACCTCCCCTCCTTTCCCCAAAACGTCCACAATCTCCGATTCCGGAGCATCACGGGGTGATTCGAACGGGTGATTCGAATACTCTAGATCGCTCCACCGGCGCTCGGAGTGGCGGAGCCCGCGCTGGAGAGCTCCGACGATCTCGCCGGCGATGAGGCGGACTCGAACGCTATCAGGGTGAACTGAAGGTAAAATCTTCCGACGAAGGCTGTTCTTGATCTCCTCGAACTTGGGCCCGCCGGAGGCGCGCCGCTCGAGGGACCGGAGAGGAGACGAAGTGGGTCCGCTTCGTGTTAGGGGACGGTCTCGAGGTTGCCGAAGTAGACGGAGGCGGCGGCTCCGCCGCGAGAGGACGACGGTGACGCGCGACGACGCGGGGGTCGCGGTACCAGTTCTGCGGTAGTATGCGGCGGCCGCCGCGGCGGGGAAGTGCTGGAGCTCCTGGTTCTGGTGGCGGGAAGTGAAGAAGGAATTGTGAAAAACCTTATGATGATGATGAGGATGATGATGATGATGACGAGTGATTGGGGGTTTGGATCTGAGGAGAGAGGAAAGGGACGAGGGTTTGGCTTTTCTGAGGAAATTCATTGGAGTTTCTTTGGGGATTTTTTTTTTTAAGGGCTAAAGATGGGAAATTTGATTTCGCATTTTGAGGAGAGGAGGTCACAAGAAGAGGGGAAAGGAGGAGAAAGAGCTGGATTTGTGTAGAGACTCGCGGAGTGAGCAGGAAATAAAAGAGCAGTTGCACCC